AGGGTCCGTCCTCGAGGCGCACTGCGGTGCGACAACTCGCCAAACACTATTTGCGGCGGTGCAGCCTTGAGATACGAGGGCGGGCAACAAACCCCCTCCCCCGGCGCAATGCGACAGACGCTACAGACGGCGGACAGACGGTGAAGATCTCACGTGTCAGACCGCGTGAAGAAGGAGGCCCCAACAAGGAAGGCGACGTGCTGACACGTGGCTAGGCGGCTTGGCAATCCGCCAGTTGGGCGCTTGGCCGCAAAGCGGCGCGCAGGGACGGGGCACCCCCCGCCCCCACGCCCTGGCACCGTGGACGCGAAGCCACGCGTACACACGGGCAGGCAGAAAGGAGGAAATTAGCGCGGGGCACCAGGCGGAGCGCCGCGGAGCGATGACAGCATAGCTTGGATGGTGAGTGGCGGCGCAGCACCATCGGGCGAGGGCGTAAGCAGCTCGGCGAAGGCACTCCCGGCGCGGTGGAGGCGCTGGAGCAGAGGGCCTTGACGGGCTTGAGCAGCGGCAAGGTCGGCGGCGAGAGCAGCGCACCTCTGCTGAAGAGCGGCCATAGACTGGGACAGCTCGGTTTCGCGGTCGGTGAGGGGCGGCTGCTCAGTGCCTGCGGCCGCGGGCCTCGTGGCAGGGACGAGGTCATCGGTGCGCCTGGCCAGGTGGTGGACTAGCGCAGTACGGCGCTCCGTGTGCTGGCGGCCGTCACCCTTGAGAGGCGACTGGAGGGTAACGCGCGGTCCCAGGGCTGGAGCCGCTAGGGCCACGCCCCGTGAGGTCGGAAGAGCCGCATCCTCGCGCCCAGCAACAGTGAAAGCGTGGACGGGGTGCGACGGCCTGACTGGCTCGGTGCCCTGCGGGGGGCTGGAGCCGCCCCCGCGGGCTGGCGCTGGTGGGGGGACGGAGTGGGTGGCACGGTGGGACCAATCATGATGCCGTGCGAGGGCTCGGAGGTCGGCCGCGTGGTCGGGTGGCGTCTCGATGGGGCGGCAACGTCGGCAGCGTGGGGTGTCGGCGGGGCGTCGTCTATGCTGCCACTCAGTCCGAGGGGATCATGCAGGTCCTCGTCGGCGTCTTGACGGTGAGCGACATCATCATGTGGGTGCGATGTCGCTCTCGGTGGCGGAGTCGCGGTGGGCGTCGAGAGGTTGCCCGACGGGGCAGGGTTGGCGCTGGCTGGGCCGTCGTCCAAAAAGTCCAATCCCCCGCCGAAGCCGAACGGGTCGTCCTCCTGTTCATCGAGCATCGCCCGTTGGGCCTCGGCCCAGAGCTCATCCGGGTCTTGCGGGATGAATGGTCCAGCCGCGGGTGGTGCCTGGTCCGACAGCAGGGGGTTTGGTCCCATTTTGCTGAGTTCCGCAGCTGTAAACCCAGCCCTGCGGTGTGGGAGCGGCAGAGTGCGGTGTCTGCGCTCGTAGATAGCGACAGCGACCCCATGGAGCACGGTCGCTTGGCGATGTCGTGTTTTGGCAGCTTCGACAATGTCGTCTGGAAGGTTGTGAGTGCGTGCCGCCATTGTGGCAAGGGCGTCAGCCTGACGGTTGAACTCCTCCGCAATGGGCCCTATGAGCCCAAGGTCGATGCCCATGTCTCCCAGGTGGCTGGCGATTTTTTCGACGCGAAACATGTTGGGCTTGGCCATAACACATCGGTGGATCTTTTCCCAGAGCTCCGCGTGCGTGCCCTGCGGCGCTGGATGTCCATCGATGATGCTTTGGAACCCATCGACCACCGCCTGGTTGTCCACGAAAACGTGCACGGGCCGTTCGGCACATGCCGTAAGGTTGACAATGGCGAGGGTCTCCGCAACCTGGGCGTTCTGCGTTAGGCCGTGAACGCGTGCACTGTAGTTCATGCGGTGGTCGATGCCGTAGTAGACGCCGTAGCCCGCTCGTGCTAGCAATGGGATGGCTTGGTTGGTACATGCACCGTCCGTGGCAGCGTAGACCCATGACCAACCAGTGTCGTGGTCAAGGTAGGTGGTGTAGGAGTCCTGGGCTGAAGCCGCAGGATCTCCCTCAGGTGGGGGCCGCGGTATGGGCTGAGGTAGCGGGTCCCTCGCGAGGTCGGCCTGCAGGTCGAGGAGGGCTGGGTCTTCGTCGAAGAGCCCGCAGTGTCTTGTGTGCGGCGGAAGACGGGCCCACTGGTCGTCACTGATGAGGGTGGTGAGAGGAACTCTTTCTCGGGCCCAGCACCTACAGTCGCGGACAGTGTGCTCCTGAGTTTCCTCTTCCTCGTCGCAGTAGCGGCACATGGGGCTGGGGTCTGCCGACGTGTTGGATCGGAATCGTCGCTGTTGGGTGTGGTCCCCGCCCGACAGGTAGTTCAGGAGGAGCGCCAGCTGCCAGGCAGTGCATTTGGCTGCTCCTTTGGTTCGCGCGAGCCACGTGCTGGCGAAGAGGTCAAGGCCCTGTCTGACCGAGGCGAGGTAGCCAAGGTCGTGTCGCCGTGGCTTGATCCTCCGCAGAAATGCCCTGCGTTGTGAGGCCCGCAGCATGTGCAGGAAGGCGTTTTGGGGTAAATTCAGCCAGCTGATCGGGCAGCCCCAGTCGTCGTACATGATGCCAAATGTGGCCAGGTCCATCGGAGCTGCTGGAGCGACTGGACGAGTCGTCCGACGGGTCCTCCACCAAACAGGGTCTGGACGTGGTGTTGGAGGTCTCTGGCGAGCCCGCAGAGTGTAACGTCGCGGTTAACCTGTCGCCGCAGGCACAGGAATGCTTCACGCTGCGTGATGGCGTCGATCTCAAGGGCGTGTCCCGGCACGCACACGGCCATGAGAGTCCAGAACTCGACCCACGTGTTCCCCTTGGGGCGGATAGCCGCCTTGAGGGCGTGGTTGTAGGCAGTTTTGGCTGGGCCTGATGGTGCTTGAATGTCGGTGCCCGTGGTGCAGACGCTGGCAGCCAGGGAACGGGCATGCCGCGCCTTGATAAGCATCGGCGATGGGAGCTTGCCAATGCGCGGCAGGCGGATAGTCGCCCTCCGTACACGGGCGTCTGCGGTGGCCGTGAGGTAAAGCGCGGCTGGAGCCGGCGCTGCCTCTGCGTTGATGTAACTCCCGACGAGCTTGAAGGAATCGACCACACGTAGGGGGCGATCCGCCAGTGTAAGCTGGGCAACGGCGGCGTGAAGCTCGTCGGTGAGCGCCCACCCTGCCACTTTACCAGGGTGGATGCGTTGACCTGAGAATCGATCAAACTTGGCGGTTTCGTCAAGAGATTTCTGCAGCTCAGACGCGGTGTGGGTAGTGGAGTTGCTGTCGTCAACAAAGGTAGTGCTGAGTGATCGAGGAACGTATCGATGCTGCCTCTTTGTCCACACGCACATGAGCAGCTTGATGTCGTCCAGGGACCACGAGCTTCCCTGGAGGTGACCGTTAGTCCTGGCCAAGTCCTTAGAGTACGCTCCGTTCATGCGGATGTAGCGTTTGTGGTGTCTGTAGAAATTTCGGCGGACAGTAACGATGTCTTGAGGGCACCCCGCGTGCAGCGCAAGGTTAAGGCAGATGTCCGTGATGAGGTAGTCAAAACACTTCTGTCGGTCAAGGGCAGCTCCAGCTAAGGGGAGGAGTAAAGCCCTGGCGTGTTCGATGCGCAGGGCGAGAGAGGTGCTGACATCCCCAATGGTGGCTTTGGGAACAGCGCCGAAGCTCGTGGCATGGGTCCATCCTTGCCGCCAGGTCGTGAGGCTACGGTAGGCTGGCGCTTCCCACGCGTACATCCAAACGGAAAGAACCGAGAGAAGT